TATTGATACAAAGAGGGGTATAAATACCTATTACATAATCTATAAAGAAACAAATAAAAACAGAATAAAAGGGGGAAAAAAGTAAATAAAAACAAATCAAAACAATTAATTCAGAATTCTGCATATTAATATTCTAATATTCTAATAAAAAATAAATTATATAAAATAATACAACCACAACAATTCTTTGTAAAGAAAAAAAGATGGGAGATGCATTAATTCAACCATGAAAATCGCATTAGACCTTTGCAAAATTACCCAAACCAGCCAACTCAAGAAAGAGTTGTGGGCATAACGGAGAAAGAATTTCCAAGCCCGTTCCAAAGTCATAAAGCACATCAGCTGCAAAAAAAATCATTGTATATGATTATGATGCAATAATATCAATAATATATTTTCAAAAAGGAGTGAAGTCTTTAAAATAAAAAGTAATTTAAAGAAAATTTAATGACTAAAATAAAAGAAAACTAGAAAAACACCCAGTATTCTCCAACTTTTTGGTTCAGAGTCCATTCTTGCTCCCATGCCACTACATATGAGTTTTCCAGCATGCTGCATGCCATCCTTCAAAATCTGCCAGCAGTAACATTTGAAGCTATGCCATAGCACTCTATATAGAAACAAGTCTTAGATCTTTTATATCAGTTATATTTCTCGTCTTACCCAACTTACAGCAGTTGCTTGGGCTGGAGTAGGACGCAATCCTGCAGCAAATAGCAGCGACTGAGACAGCCAACAAAAGTAGTCAGTCCAAAAAGCATGCTACAAATCAAGATAAAATTAAATGATAAAAAATGTAATATTTGTTACTCTCTTATTTCAAAAAGAGTTTATAAAGAATTGAACGCTTAAGAAAAGCCCTCAAGCTATCTCATATGTACTTTGAACTTAAACTTCCACTTAATGCAAGCTCACATAATTGATTATCCTCTCATTCAAGAAAGCACTCCAAATTGAAGAGGTCCCTCAGCTCGAGTATTTATGTGAGCCTGCTAGGTGTTATAAGTCTTTGGAAATAGGAGTGGGAAAGCAATTAATCCTAGCAAGGTCATCCATTTACCAGGTTATCTATCATTGGTTATCAAGGAGCTCTAGTTGTGACAATATAGCAATTAGTCAAGGAGCTTTGTGTTGCAATTATAGGCATTACATTGGAAAGCCAGATGTGACCACTAGAATTGAGTCATTGAGATTGTTGCAACTTATGTCATACAAGTGAATGCACCGTGGCAATGATATCAAGTGATCTTGTTGTTAAATATATGTTGCATGATCCAATGATCATCCCAAAGACCGAAGGTCAAATAATTTTCATTTTGTTACATTTGTAAAGCTAACTTGGCTAGCTCAAAGGATTTAACAGTATGAGCATTGGTTACAGCTGATGATCAAGACCTTGTCAACTTATATATAAGGCCATAACTTGAGTGAGTTTTTGATAGCTAAATGAAGCAAAATTTAATTAGAGCATGATTTGACTAGCTCTTAGGCTGTTGACAACATCGAGCCTGGGCTACAGGAAGTGGATTAGACCTTAGTTTACATTTTATATATTTATGGTTGCAGCTTGAGTAGGTCTACAGCAACTTGTTTGTGTAAGGTTGCGTTTGAGCATAATCTTGACTGGCTTTGACAAGCGTTCATCTTTGGCACCAAGTTGGTTGAAAATAACCTTCGTTTTATAATTTTGTCTAAAAGCATAGACCATTGGCTCTAAGCTTGTGGAATAGAACCTTAAGTCTTATCATTTTGTTTGAGGCCTTAACCTGTATAACTCAACAATAGCTAACAGCAGAGGACTTTTGTAAAAACACAAACACATTGGCTCCTCAGCACATATTTCGGTGTAACCAAACTCATTCCAACCCTTAACATAATAACTAATATCATTTACTTATTGCTCCTTGGAGTAGAAAGAAATGCAAGTTCACATCATACCTTGAGGTGGAAACCAACGCTAATAATGGCATAAGTCAAACATAGCATAAACTTAAACCTTAACACTTTGTTCCACGTAGGGCATAGACAAGTTAGTATATATATCAATATAAGCAATATATCATCTCCTTAGGGTACACTTGTCCATCAGCACATAAATCACTATCAACTGTCTTAATAGGCATATTAAAGTCATGCCTCGGGTTTATAGCTAGGAACCAAGATCAACGAAGAATTATCAAGGTTGGACCCAATTCTTCTGTTGTCCTAATCAACCACATTTATCATGTGATTTTGACGAAAAACCACTAGAGCAATCAATTTTATTTTGAAAGTTTCCTAGAATCTATGCCTTAACGAAGTTCTAAAAGGCAGTCCAGATGGGCATTTTGGTAATTTAATCACCATTGAGTTATAATTTGGCCAATTTTATTTTGAAAGTTTCCTAGATTCTATGCCTTATGTAGTTTTAATAGACAGTCCTAAGGGACATTTTGGTAATTTAGTCTCCAATGAGTATTTTAATAATTTGGCTACTCTTAGGAGGCATTATCTATTTTCAATTTCTTTTCTTTATCATTATGAACATATGAAATATACAGGGCACATTAGAACCTTCGGTATTTGAGCAGGTCATTTGAAAACTTGAGGTCCAATGGCATATATTAAGATGAGATGTGAATATCAATGTGTTTGTATTAATATTAGATATGACAGATAATTTATAGACGTTTAGACAAGGTATTATACTTTTTTCCCCTGAACAACTTTAGAGACCACTCAATGACTTGGCATACCATTTAGATAAAACAAAATAAAAATAATTTGCATACTTTTTTTGTCAATACAAGTCAATTAGAGTTAATTGTTAGTTGAAACCATTAATCGCAGGTCAAACATTATGACTTAGACCTGTGAAAAATTTTCCAAGTATCGCCATATTCTTGTTCAGTTTTCATTTGAATGCATTTAATTTCATATCATTTATAACCCTTTAAAACTAAAAAAATAGGTTTCAAACAACTAATTTTATATTTTTCTCACAACCATAGCTTTTATGAAATTTGCAAGATTATAGTATTTCAATATTTTTTTTTTTGCAGTTAAATCATTTTATAAAATATTTTAATTGCATAAAAATGAGCCTATAATAATTTTTTAATATGAGTTTCTACCAAGTCATTTCTACAAGTTTTACTAGAATGAAGGTTCTCCATCTAATTTTAAAAGTCTCTCGTGGGTCCAATTGGTAATTGTTGGTTTATTAAACTTTTTACTCTATGAACTGAAACGCATGGAAAGCAATAATTGGAAGCCCAATCCCTATCATTAACACTCAAACAAGCGAGCCAAACATAGATAAGTTGAGAGTCCTACGACTATGGAGCACAATCATGTTGGCCTCAAAATAAGTGCACTTAGGGTGCGTTTGGGGCAGCTTGTGCTTATTCAGATAAGCCGTTTATCTGGAAACGCGAACCACGGGGTTCGACCCCGTTCCGCGTTTAGTGTAAAAAAACAACTGTGTTTTGGGATAAACTGCTCAAATGTAGTTTCCAAATGGTGAGGCGGGTTTTCAAAGCGTTGCCGCAACACATAAGCTGCCCCAAACGAAGTCTTAGTTGGACCAGATTTATTATTATTAAATATTGATTCTTTTTATGCTTCTTTACTCATTTTAGTTGTGGATCCAAAAGTTATACATCGAAGAGGAAGTCATGTTGTGGGACTGATTCCACATAGCCTGGAAAGTTGACATTCATTTCAATGATAAAGCCCAAAAGTGTAGAGGTTATGTCATTAAAATGATGTCATGTCCCTAGACGACATTGCACTAAAGATAGTGGTTTCTTGCCAGTAAACAAAAATTGTGAAAGAATTTTGAGGCGAGTATGATCGTCGAAGGGAGAAATGCTTAAAATATATAAAGCTTGTTAAGGTGACTGAAAATCCACCAAAAGTGTGGCGACAACAACACTAGGGTTATAGGCTAAGTATAATGGCTATTTGAGGAAGAAAAAGTGATTGATAAACAAAACAAGTCTCACCCTGCCAAGGACATTTTCCTTTTTATTTTGAAATGCAAGAAAAAAATTATGAGCATTACTTATAAAATATTTTTTTTTTGTTTTAAGGATTAATATGAATAATTGAATTTCCCCCTTCATTACCTAGTTTAATTAATTAAGCAAAAATAAAGTTAATTAATGGCTCAATAAATAACCTTAATTAGCTTTGTTTGGCCCTAATTAATTAAGAAGCGGAAATATGCCAAATTTAAAAATTAGGGCGTTACTTAGATAAATTAATCGGCTGGTTTAATAAATTCGTTAAGTTCAGAGGAAACCAAAACATCAAGATCATATTAAAGTAAAACTAGAAAAAAAAAGTACCTGAGTCGAAAGCACAGACAACGCAGCACTTGAAAAATGTTGCAATGCTCGAAATTGTGAATAGGTTAGGTATCCTTCATTAACACTAAGGGAAAAAAAAAATCAAAAGCATAATATAAGAGCATAATACAATAGCATGGCCATAGTTCATGCCAAGTTTTCCTTCCAAGTTATTAAAAAAAGGGCCTCATTTAATCTTAAGGAAAAAAGCATCACCTTTTAGGATAACCTGATGGAAAAAACTTGCTCAGGAATGATTCAACTAATTTATGGATTAAGGGCCTTCTATCATTGACAATCTTGACCTGAGTACAAAATTTCATGGCCCAACAATATTAAGAAAAATATATTGAACTAGAAAATTGATACCTAATACTTTGTTCGAGATTTGTTTTAAGTGCAAGAAATCATAAGCAAAGACGAGGACTTGAATGATAAAAATCTTTGTTGTCCATTCTTTTGATCTAATGGGAGTCCCTACAAAGACAAATAAAAGAGAGACATTACCGAGAGGTGGCCCTGCAAATCAAATCTGCATATGTGAGAAGTGGAATTTGAAGTCTCAATCCAAAAATCCGGGCCATGAGCCAAATTATTCTCTTGCTCCTTCTTCAAGCCCATTAATTTCTACGGGAAATTGATAAAATTTGATGGTGAGTTAAACATAAAATTTTGAATTAATGTATAAAAGTAAAGAACAAGTGATGAAAAAAAAATTCTTTGCAATTGAAATAAAAAAACAAAAAAAAATGACTTTCTCGAACGCTTTTGCCAGGAGAGTGAATGTTTTCAATAAAGTACTATGAATAGATTCAAGGGCTCAGATATAGGATGGAAGAATTGAAAATACATCAAGACCCAAAAAATTTATAAATATGACAATAAAAATTTGTTATGTTGATTCTTATGTTGGTTCTAATTTAGCAAAATTTTAAATAACACAAAATTTTTATCACAGCGCATGAAAAAAACCAATCTAATATCCAATTATAGATTGTGCTAGTTCTATGAGACAAGGCCTCAAGGTTATTGGTAGCATTTACTATCATTATAAATTAGCCAAACTTCTCTCCATGGCTATTATAGTAAAAACATCAATAAGTAACTATCAATCAACGGTAAATATTATAACTAATAGAAAGTGAAACTAACAACCCGAACATAAGTCAATGCATTACACTTCTAACCAAAATACATAAACATACTCCCACTAAATTTCATTGAAAAAATCTCCTATCAAGATTTATCTTATAAGATGAAAAAAATTTATCAAAATCAAAATTCAAAACTGAGATCAAGTTGTTTGTTTACTGGAAGATTGGTTAATATGTACAATTGGATGGTTTAGCATGCCAGTATAATAATCGCACCACAATTAATAAATTATTAATTTAAAAAATATGACAGTCACTAGGACACAATGGAGAAAAAGGATTCATGCAGCCGATCCCACTTAGCGGGATAAAGGCTTTGTTGTTGTTGTTGTAGAGATAAAAACCATTAAAAATAAGAAAATAAGTGACAATCAGACAATTCAATATCTATAAATAAGTTTAACTTAGAAATAATAATAAAGTAGACTTTCCTTCTTTTCAACTATCCTAATTCATCCACTACTTAAATTCTGGTGTAAATTAAGTGTAATTACATGCCACTAGAAACTAGGAATTCAATATCTCTATTGCTTGATACGGGGAACCAAAATAAAGTTAGCTATAGTAGTTCCTGCTGCTGATAATGCATAAGCATGAGCGCTCACTCCAAATTCATCAGACAAGACAGTAAATGGAAATTCAATAACAAAGCATTAAAGAAAAACAATAAGTTAAAACAGAAGAGAGCGGAACTAAGATTCAAACCAAGTCCTCACGCAAGCAATCCATACCCAAATTGGAGACAAGGGCACTGAATGCTCACCCTTTATTCCTTAATGGTAGAATCTAGATCAATTCATCACTGAAAACCCCGAGGGCAAGTATGGATCAGGAGAAGCGGAATTGCAGAGACCTGTAAGAGCCGAGACGAGAGACAGCCGGCTGAGATCAACGAGACTTTCCAAAATCCTTGCGCTTCTGGCTTCTCTGCCTAGAGGATAAGTAGTCTGCTTTCCAGTCTCGAGCTGACATCAAGACAAAGTGCTGTTTGGCGGTCCCCGTCGATTCTTCTTCATCGAATTTTTGCTTTTCCTCCCCCGCCGCTCGCCGGACGTCGCTCGGCGCCGTTTCGAGCTTGCTCCGGTCGCGAAGTAGGGGCGAGGTAGGGGATAAGAAGGGTTATGGGGTTAGAAGAAATATTAGATCTAGGCACTTTATTTTTAATTGTGTAGCCAATCAAAACACGTCACGACATCTCTCGTATTGGAGTAAGAAAAATGGCACAGTAATACGAAGAATATTCCCTCCTGTATTATTCATGTGTTATTGCACGTTATTCATGTGTTATTGCATGTTATTCATGTGTTATTGATGTATTATTATGTTATTATAACACCAAAAATATTCTCAGGATACAATAACACATGAATAACACACAATAACACTTGAAACAACACACAATAACACTTAAATAACACTAGAAATATTCCCGACAGAGAAAAAAACGACGCAGAAACACGGAGGAATATTTTTCCCATATCTCCTCAGTTTTTCCTTGAAACCCAGATATAGTAAGTCCAAATGGAAGGCGGATTTAAGGGATTTAGGAAATTCAGCGCGCGAATGGGGGAAACAGTAACCTTCGATTCTTCTTCATCCAAATTTTGCTTTTCCTTCCCCGCCGCTCGCCGGACGTCGCTCGACGCCGTTTCGAGCTTGCTCCGGTCGCGAAGTAGGGGCGAGGTAGGGAATCAGAAGGGTTATGGGGTTATGGTGCTTCATGTAGGTGCCGAAGAAGGGCCCCACAACGGGAATGATTTTGGGTGCAACTGAGTAAGTAGACTAACTCAGTGAGTTGGCTCGAACTCAACTGGGTTATGGTGCTTCATGTAGGAGCCGAAGAAGGGCCCCAGAACGGGAATGATTTTGGGTGCAACTGAGTGAGTAGACTAACTCAGTGAGTTGGCTCGAACTCAACTCCATAAGCATGTAGTGAATTGAATTCAATGAGCTAACAAACTAAACTCAAATTAATTACAACTCAACTTATTAGCTCTGGAGTTGATTTATTTTAAGAAAAAATTAATATTAAATATATTCAAAATATATTAAATTTAAAATTTTTATTTTTAAAATATTAAAATATTTTAAAAATAATATTTTAGATTTTATATAAAAGAAATTTTTTTTATATCCCCAAACTCTATATCTCTAGCTTCATTAGAAAAAAATATTACATCAAGACTCCGAACGTAGACATACGTTCAAATTGCAATAATTATGAATATCCTGTTTTGTTACAGTAATATTTCATGTACGTTATTTGTAAAAAATTAAGTGTTATTTGAGTATTATATGATGTTATTCGATTATTTTGTTGTGTTGTTGAAATATTCCCCCGTGTTACTTAATTTGGGGTTATGTTATTTGACATATTCCCCGTGTTATTTTAATTTTCATCATGTTATTGGATAATACAACCCAAAATCAAGTAACAAGAGGGAATATTTCAATAACACTTCAGCCCCAAATCAAATATTGTAGGGGGATATTTCAATAACTCCACAAAATAATCGAATAACATTGTATAATACTCAAATAACACTTCTTTTTAAATAAGATAGATGAAATATTCCTCAAGCACAAGAGTACATTCCTGACAACTGCAATTATTACGCATTTATTGGAGTGGGGTAGATATATTGTACGGTCTGGTCTGTGCGCCGTTCGATTGTATCTGAACGGCGTGGCCGTGAGGCCATCTTCCAACGGCGGGGGTCTCCCCCCCACTGAAGGGGGTTGTTATTTGACATATTCCCCGTGTTATTTTAATTTTCACCATGTTATTGGATAATACAACCCAAAATCAAGTAACACGAGGGAATATTTCAATAACACTTCAGCCCCAAATCAAGTATTGTGGGGGATATTTCAATAAATCCACAAAATAATCGAACAACATTGTATAATATTCAAATAAGACTTCTTTTTAAATAAAATAGATGGGATATTCCTGCAGTGCAGCACAACAGTACATTCCTGACAACTGCAATTATTACGCATTTATTGGAGTGGGGTAGATATATTGTACGGTCTGGTCTGTGCGCCGTTCGATTGTATCTGAACGGCGTGGCCGTGAGGCCATCTTCCAACGGCGGGGGTCTCCCCCCCACTGAAGGGACCAATTCTTCAGGAAATCTCAATTTCATGGAACTACTGGTAGTAATAAATAAATTTCGAGACCGTGAAGTTTTTCTTCCTCGCTGCTCTCTCTCTCTCTCTCTGCGTGAATCTGCGCTATGTTGCCGTCAATGGACAACAACCACAGGGAAGCCATGAAGAAGGAAATAGATTGAACACTGTTGATAAACTGAACTCGTGGAGGAAGCACGATGGTTAAATTGAGGTCAAGAGGCAGTTTGCGGTAGGCAAAGGGTTCTTTTTCTGTCAACTTCAGGGGTTGGATAGGATTAGGGGCGGAAAAGAAAAGAAAAAAAGCTGGAGTTGGCTTCACGGTTTATTCCAAGCTATTCTATGTGGATCTTTAACCTGTTGATTCACTCCACCTTTTCACCTCAGGATATATTCTCTTTTACTTTATTTTTCTGCTTTCATTTTGAAGTTGGAATTTGGTGAAGGATCTTATCAAATTAAGTTTCATTCTTATTTATCCGGAGGAGCTCTGGGTATATTTGATCATATCAGACGAGATTTTGGAGGGCGATGCTTTTGATATGTTTCAGATGAACTGATACAGATCGTCAGTATGATGCAATTCTTTGGTTGTCTGAATAGTTTCATGGCGCGTGCTTTGTTGGACTTCAATTTTCCTCAGCTGGTGATGAAAGCATGAAATAGCTGAGTTATTGATGGGCAGTACAAGCAAGACAATTGTTTGGTTCAGGAGGGACCTGAGGATTGAGGATAACCCAGCCCTGTTTGCTGCGGCGAGGGATGGGGTTACTCTTCCTATTTTCATCTGGTGCCCAAGTGAGGAAGGGAAGTTCTTTCCCGGGCGTTGCTCTAGGTGGTGGTTGAAACAGTCTCTTGCCCACCTTGATCAGTCTTTGAAATCTATTGGGGCACCTCTTTTGTTCATTAGGGCTGAGAGTACTGTCTCTGCTCTAATTCAGTGTGTAACTTCCATTGGGGCCACTAGAGTGGTGTATAATCATCTTTATGGTACGTAATCAATTACCCAATGTTTCCATCATACAAATTCTTTTTGATTCTGCTGCTAGGATTTTACCATCTACCATACTTTGTATTGTTCTTATGTTTATGCTGAAATCACCATTTTTCCTCGCCAGCTCATTATTTTACTATGATCATCTTACTACCGATTTCATGCAACTTCTAATTGCTATGTTGTGTGTTCTTTAGTCTAATGATCGGGGTGATTGTGTGCTCTTCTACGTTGCTTAGTGCGACATCGTGGACTTTTTTTTAGGAGTAGAAGGATTTTGACTTTGACGACAAAGCTACTATTATCAACCAGGATTGAGAAAGAATAATTTTACACAAAGTGAAATTAGAACTCAAACAATGAAATGAATCAAAATAGAAAGTGATGGGCATAAAGAGGCAACTTGAAATTGGAACTCAACTGAGAAATCAAAATAGAAAATTTAAGTAAAGGGCATAAAGAGGGGAACTTGCCAGACAAGTTGAATGGGAAACCTTTGAATAGTCACCTTGTAAGATTATCAAGCATGATGATAGTCTCTACCTATCCATGGGAACATACAACGTAGCATATCCTTTTCATTTTTCATTAAATTTCATGTACTATCATTAATTATTGTCGTTTGCCATAGATTTTTCCATCAATTTGCTTTAACTATGCTTAATTTTGGGAGAACTTGATATTATTCATTTCATTAATGGTGGCTATAATTGTGATAATCACACTCTTTAGTGAAAAAAGAGTCTATCAAGAAGATAGGTTGAACACCTCTTTGTCGGTGTGCCCGAAACTCGTTATGCTTTGTCAATAAGTTTGAGCGTTTCCTAGTAAGTCAGATATTGCCTTTGTTAGCTGACATTAGGTGTGAATGGAATGTCTTATATTGTGGGACATGTGTTAGTCCTTATCAATCTTGAATGTTTGGTATATCTCAATCTCATGTCCTTATGATTTATTTGAAATGTATAATTTATGGGCACAAAGTACCTTTCTACCTCAAACATCTCAACTTATTTGGTCATCATATTCTTTTGATCTAATAATAACATCCTGAAAGATCCCTCAATGATTGCTTTTCTATTGGTTATATATGAAGATCAGTCGTGCCACGACCCGACCCGGTGCTTAGAATTAACTAAGGCAAGAACTGCGGTTGAATGGTATTAACATTTCATTATTCTTTTCACAAAATTTCAGAAATTTTCAATACATATAAATGAGACACTAATCAATAACATACAATAAAATTAAATATAAAAAAAACATCATCATTTGTAGACAATAATCTCAAATCAACATAAAAAGTGCCTCTAAACAAAAGTAAACATTAAAAGATATAAATTTTATTGCACGTTGTGGATTAGTGACCCTTTTATATATATTAAAAGTTTCTGAAATTATGTGAAAAGTAAAATAAAATGTTAATACCGTCCGACCACAATTGTCTTAAATATTGATTTAAAGTTGTGAATGACTTTTTCCAATAACACTATTGTGCTAGCCTTTTGAAGCTTATATTGTTGACCCTTTTTGGTGAGTTAATCATGGATTGCAATGAGATTAATAATCAAGCGACTCCCAACATGAATTTCTTGATTTATAAGGGCTTTTCTACTTCTAACATTGCAACTACCATTGAATGCAAATTCTTGATAAATTAACCAGGATAGATGTATTATTTTCAATCTTAATGAATGATCTTGATGTTCAAGTTGTTGAGCTACTCGCAAAACACAAATAGGAGATCAAGTGACTCTAATTAGAAATTTTCTTTGATAATTTTGATGTTAAAGGCATATATCAGAAAGCCTAAGAAAGATTGAATTATTCAATTTTTCCATCTAAGGAAGGCTTCATTGATTGAACAGAGGATGCCATTCCATCATAAAGAGAGATTCTTGAAGTTAAAATAACATAGTACCAGTTGTTATAGTTTTAGTATGCTCGAGCCATCTAATTTTGGTCCTAGGCATGCATCGGGTTAGTATCCTCTAGTTGAAAATTTAAATGCGATGACTTATATGGAAGGGATATAGAAAAGGATTTTTTTGGTCACATTTGGTGGCTTTTTTGACACTGTTATTTTTAGTGGCCCAAGATCTACGGCTACTTTCTCTAATCATATTAATGGGATTATAACCATTGGTGTGGATTGGAAAATTTACTTGAATTATACTTTATTATTACCTGTACTTGTTTATTGTCTTTTGCTTTGGAATATGGTGATGATCATGAGTTGTTTTGTGACGGAGATAATAGCCTTATGCAAGATTAGAATTTTAATATTTTCCTTTGGGCTTGTTGTTATGAGTCTGTTGTTTTATTTTTATGCTTGTCTCGTTGCAGACTTGTTTAGTTTTAGTATTGTGTTCCAATGTATTTTTAAACCTGGTTTTGGATTCATAGATTTATGGAAATTCAAGTTTATCTTGTATGATTCTTCTGTCACTCTATTTGATTTGACCATCTTGAGATGGAGCATATGTTTGATTTGACCATCTTGAGACATGGCCATAACTTTTGCAATGGTAGCTTTAGTGAATCTCTCTTGAGTTTCTACCTCTCTTAGGTTTTTTATCTTTATAAAAGTAAAAAATAAAAAATAAAAAATAAAGTGAAAATAGGTTCTCGTCTTCCTTCTATATTTCTTTTCAGCTATTAAACTTTTTGCTCTTGAGTTTAACTGTCGTAGAGAGAATCATTGTTACTGACTTTATCTCATGTTTTGTGTCAACAACAATAGAGGCTAGTATGATCAAAAAGACAAAACTGGACCTCATATCGGGCTCTCTAATGTTCGAATGAAGTTTGTTCTTAAGGTTGTGGGCAAGCATGAGTTCCTGAACTCATTCTTTAATTGTTGCATCTGGTTCTATGTTGATCATTTTAGAGATTGTTTATTTTTTTCCTTGCCCCTTCTCTTATTAACATTTTGACTTTAATTATCCTGAATTTTATCTTGCTAATTCTTTTCTTTGTTAATTTTTATGACTTAATGGAATCCTTCAGTTAGTAGACCTTTTTCTATTATTAAAAGAAGATTAGGTTGTTCCTATTTTTCCAATCCTTTTGGGCGAATGATGTTAGTCTTATTGAAATTCTATTCTAGAACAAAAGGGTGGGAGAATAGCTTTCGTTTTTGTGACTTCTAATAGGAATGTGGCCAGTTGCAGCTTCATTGAGCCATGTGTTGATAGATTCTCTGAAATCTTTTCCTGTGGATGTTGGAACCATGGAGACATGAAAGTTTGTTTGACTATTACGTTTGATACACCGAAGTTGTTTGCAGTACAAGTTTGCAATCACTTATTTTCACATTTTTTTTGGTTAAAAGTAATATTTTTTTGTGTATATACTATTTTTCCAATCCTTTTGAGTGTCATGTTTTCATTTAATTTTAATAAATTAAGATCATTTTTTATACATTATGCCCAAGCCTTCCTAGGTCACCACTGCCTTTCCTAACATAAGTTGAATCTGAAACATCTACTCTTTTAATCAGATCATCGAATGGTCGACGTTTAATGTGACCAAACCATCTAAGATGACTTCATGTAATTTTGTCCGTCACTGGAGCTATACCAAACCTATCACGGATATATTCATTTTTGTAATTTGTCTCTAAGTGTAAACCCACTCATCCAACTAAGCATTCTCGTCTCGGTAACACTTAACTTGGTTTTATGCTTCTCTTTTAAAGGCCAACATTAAGCTCCATAGAGCATAGCACGTCTCAACACCATCTTATAAGATTTTCCTTTCAGTCTAAGATGTACTTTTCTATCACGCAATAGGCCCGAAGCATTCCTTCACTTCAACCAATCAAACTTGAATTCTACTAAAAAATCCCCATCTACCAATCAGGAGTACATGAAATCAGACAGAATAAAATCCCAATCTACCAATCAGGAGTACATGAAATCAGACAGAATAAAGAGTTTTCTTCTTTGCAATGCTGCAAAGAAGGAAATATTATATTTGCACGGGTTCTTTCCTTTTAGCTAAATATTTGAATTAGGAATATATATATTATTAAGCTACTAAAATTAAATTGAGCACTTTGTTATGTACCTAAAATAGATTATACAGACTATTATTTATTGAAACGAAAGTAAAGGAAAATGTATTCAACTTTTTTGCTCAAAATAATGACATGGTATCAGAACCACGTCGAATATTTAGAGTCTGAATCTTTGGAGTCTTCAAATTTGCAATTGTTTGTCTTCTTCGACTGAAAATCTTTGAGTCTCGCCGGACTGCTCGTCTGCATTATCTAAACATTTGTCTGCTTCGCCTGGAGAGCTCGTCTGGTTCGCCTAAACCATTGTCTTCCTTGTTTGGACTGCTTGGCTGCCCTGACTGCTTTGTTTGTTCCGCTTGATTGCTTTGGCGGACTCACCTAAACTACTACGATCTCTTCGTCCGCTTCAATTGCCTCAACCACATTTGTTCTCGTCCACTTCGCTCACTTCGTCCGCTTCATCTACTTCATCCGCTTCTGCTTCGGTAGCATCGGTTGTATCTTCGGCTTCGGTATAATCGGCGTATTTCAGCGTCGATATACTTTCTAGATCGTCGCACTCAAGAATCGTAGGCTTCGGCTTTGGCTTCAAACTCTTCTCCTAATTTAAGGGAGTGCACGATTTTTTGAATCTCTTAAGTTGATTTAGATCAACGATTTGGATTTTTTTGGATATCTTAGCTTTCTTTGATTTTTGGTTGGTTGATTTCGATCAACGACGATCAACGACCTTCTTAATCAATTTGTGAACGACAATTATATTTAGAATGTCGTCTGAAATCTTAGTTATCAGATTTATGGGAAATAATTATGTCGCATGGGTATTTAAACTCAGAATGTTCTTAAAAGAGAAGGAGCTTTGAGGTTTCTTCTCCAACTCCTATTAAGGCAAAAGATCTCGGTCAATGGGAAGCAAAGGATGCTCGGATTGTTTCCTGGATCTTGGGATCTATTGAGGCTCATATGGTGAACAATCTACGATCCTTTGGCGCAGTTAAAGAAATGTGAGAATACTTGAAGCTCGTTTACAATCAAGATAATACTTTAAAGAAATGTGGGAATACTTGAAGCTCGTTTACAATCAAGATAATACTGCGAAACGCTTTCAATTGGAACTTGATATGAGTAATTACAGTCAGAGTAATCTTTCAATTGAACAATATTATTCTACCTTTCTAAATTTATGGAGCGAATATACTAGCATTATTTATGTTATGGTGTCAAATGAGAACTTAGTTAGTCTTCATATTCATGAAGAAAGTTGTCGTGATCATTTTTTAATGAAACTCGGATCTGAATTTGAAACTGCTCGGGCTGGGTTGTTGAACAGAGATCTGGTTCCTTGTTTGGATATTTGTTTTGGTGAATTGTTGCGCGAAGAACAAAGATTGGCGACACAAGTTGCTATTAGTACAACAGGTGGATCATCAGAAATAATTAATATGACATATGCTGCTAAGACCAAATGGAATGGACCAGTGCAGTGCTACAGTTGCAAGAAATTTGATCATATTGCACAGAATTATAAAAATAAGTGTTGTACTTATTGAAAGCAAAAAGGACATATTATTACGGAGTGCCCTGCACGACCCCAGAACTGCAAACCACAAGCAATTTATGCCACGGTATCCGACACTCACAATCCTGACTCGACATCCACAGTTGTTGCCAATACTTAATAAGTTGTCACATCAGATATGATTCAACAGATGATTCTCTTCGCTTTTTCTGATCTCTGTCTTCAAGGGAAAGGTAAAACAATTACTTCTGTTTCTTCTCCTTAGTTTGTTGATTCAGGCGTCATAAATCATATGACTGATACTGCTGATTTATTGCATAACCAATGGTCGTACACTGATACTCAACATATTCAGGTTGCTGATGAAAATAATATTTCAATTACGACATTCGATGATATTAATTCCTCTTTCAGACATGTCTTGGTTTCTCCTAAATCATCCACTAACTGAGTCTTTGTTGCTCAAATTGTAGATAATAACTGTGACGTGCATTTTTCTCATGATAGTTGTATTGTGCAGGATCAGGCGTCAGGGAAGGAGATAGCGAAGAGGCCTAACCATTACAATTTACTGTTCCTCGGAATATGACATTTCCTCGGAATATGGCATTAGCTTCTTTAGTTGTTGAGAATAAGGTTGACATCTGAAATAAAAGACTAGGTCACCTAAATGATATGGTGTTGGAGCATTTACTTAAAATGGGTGTTTTTTATTCTACAGATAAGAGTTTAGTAGTTGACTGTTCTGTTTGTAAACTTGAAAAAAGTAAGACATTACCTATTTTTATTTTAGGCAGTTGTGCCAATAAATGTTTTGATATTATTCATAATAATGTTTGAGAATTACACCAGTTATTTCATATGCTCAATATAGATATTTTGTGACATTTATTGATGATTACAGTCGATTTACTTGGATATATTTTTTGCGTTCCAAAGTAAAAAATATTTACTCTATTTCAAAACTTTTTAGCATATATTGAAATTCAGTTCTCTGCTTGCATTAAAACATTACATCTGACAATAGCAGTAAATACATGTCTCATGAGTTTCAAGCATTTCTCCATAACAAATGTATTGTTTCATAGTGTTCATGTCTCTATACACCGCAGCAAAATAGAGCTGTTGAACGGAAGAATCGACATCTATCGGATACAGTGCGCACCTTACTGATAAAATCTTCTGTTCCAACTAAATTTTAGACTAAAGCTTTATCTAGTGCAGTTTATCTCAAGAATCGTTTGCCATCTCAACAATTGAAGTATGATTCTGCCTATTATCTATTTTTTGGAAAACATCCTAATTGTCTATGCTAAATATTTTTGGATGTGTTTGTTTTGTTCATCTACCTGCTCATGAACATCATAAGTTGGTAGCTCAGTCATTACGATGTGCTTTTATGGGATATAGTCATAATCATAAAGGTTTTTTGTGTTATGATTCGATTAATGGTCGATAGCATATTTCTCGGAATGTGATTTTCTATGAACATGAATATTACTTTCAGCATCATGTGTCGACACCGAATACAGTTATACTTCTACAATTTGATATTTTTTTTTCTGATAAACGGTTCAAGCCAGACATTGTCTATATACGACGTCTACCCCCACGACGTCTGCCCCTTCACCTTCAAACCTCCTTGACCCTGATCCAGAAATTGCTCCAATAAGTCTTCGATACGACGTCTACCCCTTCACCTTCAAACCTCCTTGACCCTGATCCAAAAATTGCTCCAATAAGTCTTCGACGATCAACTTGGCGTATCCGTTCTCCAGATAGATATGGTTCTTTTGCAATTTTAACTAATATTATTATGCATACCTCTTACTTTCAGGCTACTAAACAGACTTGTTGGATCAAAATCATGCAAGAGGAACTTCGGGCACTTCAAGACAATCACACTTGGGATATTGTTTCATGTCCTACAGGTGTTAAACTCGTTGGTTTTAAATGGGTTTATTCTCTTAAACTCCGATCTGATGGCTCTCTTGACAGATATAAGGTAAGATTGGTAGCTCTCGACAATCGACAGGAATACGGGATTGATTATGAAGAAACATTTGCACTTGTGGCTAAGATGACAACTGCTCGGATGGTGTTATCTATTACTGCATCTAAAGGCTGGTTCTTAAAGCAGGTGGACGTTAAGAATGCATTCTTACACGGGGATCTCAAAGAAGATGTCTATATGACTTCTCCAGGCTTGTTTTATACACCTTCACATAATGTTTGTAAGCTCAAATGATCCCTATACGGTTTGAAACAGGCTCCACAGGCCTGATTTGAAAAGTTTCACAATACTCTTCTTAGCTTTTCACAATACTCTTCTTAGCTTCTCTTCTTAGCTTCTCTTTCATTCAAAACTAATATGATTCATCATTATTTCTTTGCATTACGAACATGGGAATTATTTTGTTATTAGTCTATGTTGATGATATTGTCATCACAGGATCTGACAATCAGTTGATGTCTCAGATATAGAAACGTCTTCAGAGTTCTTTTCATATGAAGGATTTTGGGTCATTAACTTATTTCTTAGGACTCGATGTTCACTCTTCTCCCGTTGGTATTTTTCTTCATCAACATAACTATACTAAGGGACTCATTGCTTTGGCTGTTCCTTAAGATTATCGCTCTGCTGATACTCTTTTGGAAGTAAATGTCAAATATCAAAAGAATAATAGTGACTTTCTATCTGATCCATCTTTATATCGACAACTTGTTGGGAGTCTCAATTATTTTGACTATTACGCGTCCTGATATTTCATTTGTTGTGCAACAAGTTAGTCAATCTATGCAAGCACATACACATCATTTAGTTGCAGTTCGACATATTGTTCGGTATTTGAAAGGTACTTCTCTTCGTGGTTTGTTCTTTTCTGCGGAGTCTCCTATCACTTTAACAGCTTATTGTGATGTTGATTGGGTTGGTTGTTCTGATACATAATGATCTATTACTGGATGGTGCACGTTTTTTTGCAACTCTTTAATCTCTTGAAAGAGCAAGAAACAAGATCGAGTTTATAAGTCATCTACTGAATCAAAATATCGCGTTATGTCCTCTGCTTGTTCTGAGATCATTTGACTTCGGGGTGTGTTGATTGAGCTCGGTTTTCCTCAGTTTGAGTTTACTTCTCTTCATGCAGATAATAGTAGCGCTATCCAAATTACTCTTAATCCCGTCTGTCATGAGCGCACGAAACACATTGAAGTGGACTGTCATTCCATTCGAGAAGCCTATGAGGATGGTGTTATATATCTTCTTCATATCACTTCTGATCTTCAAACGGCTGATATATTTATTAAGGTTCTTTCTCGACAGCGTCATCAATTTCTTGCAGGCAAATTGATGTTTCTTGATCAGTCAGCATCAATTTGAGGGGGAGGGGATATCAATCAGGAGTAAATGAAATCAGACAAAATAAAATCAGACAAAATAAAGAGTTTTCTTCTTTACAATTCTACAAAGAAGGAACTATTGTATTTGCACGGATTCTTTCCTTTTAGCTGAATATTTTAATTAAAAATATATATTATTAAGCCACCAAAATTAGATTGAGCACTTTATTATGTACCTAAACTAGATTGTACAGACTATTATTTGTTAGAATGAAAGCAAAATAAAAGACATTCAGCCTATTTGCTCAAAATATTGACACATAGCAGGTCTCACCACCATCTTATAAGATTTTCATTTCAGTTTAAGCGGTACTTTTTTATCCCACAATAGGCCCGAAGCATTCCTCTACTTCAACCAACCAACTTGAATTCTACTAAAAAATCCCCATCTATATCACCATCACTTTGAACAATAGACCCAAGATATCTAAAACGTTCACACATTTTAATGATTTGATGACCCATAGTTACAACTCTGTCACTAGAGCTACTACTAATAAGATTACATTCTGTGTATTTAGTTTTAGTTCTACTCAAACGAAGGCCTTTAGACTCCAAAGTAGACCTCCATAATTGAAGTTTTTCATGTTTTTTTTCTCTAGTCTTATCCAAAAGAGGGATATCATTAGCAAAAATTATGGTTTTAGTTCTACTCCTTCATAATGGTTGCATCTAAAATTATAAAAAATCAAATGGCTGACTGGCATGGTTCCTTTATGTTTTAGAAATTGGTTTCTTATTTCCTTTCCGATTATTTGAAATGATGTTTAAGAATTTGAAGGATGACTGCCTCATTGATCCTTTACTGCTTTTGCAATTTTAAATATACTCCGACCATTTCAGGTTTTATATTCCACTGATTTGTAAGTTATTGTATTTTTTATCAACCGTTTTGAAGTATTATTGATATCTGTGTTTCTGAATTGCTTGATGGGTAATTTCAGATCCTGTTTCACTTGTGCGAGATCATGCAGTCAAAAGTCAGCTATTGGATTATGGAATTACAGTGCAGAGTTTTAATGGAGATCTTCTGTATGAGCCATGGGAAGTTTATGATGAAAGTGGGCATGCTTTTACAACATTTAATGAGTTCTGGAACAGGTGCTTGAGCTTGCCAGCTGAACCTGTAGCATTTCTTCCGCCTTGGCGGTTGGTACCACCGTCAGGTAAATTGGGATTCAGTGTATATTAAACTAAAGACTTGCTTGGTTGGCTGTATGAATGTTTGTCAATTTGCTGCATTCATTATTTTGTTCAGTTCTTAAATTTTCACTTAGGACAGCAGATGATGCTCTTACCTTTATTCTTTTATGAGAAATTTGCACATGAATCCCAGTACTGGTGAAAGAAGTCATTAATTAAAATTTATAAGCAAATTCAATAATTTGTCTTCTTTCATAAATATTAGCACTGGCTTATTGTTGTGGAACTTTTATCTAGAATATGTTATTACTCTCTTGAAAGTTGTATTTAGCTCCCTAAGCCCTTCTATTTAATATAAAACAAATAATTCTTTTTTCTTGGTATGGTATTAGAGCAGAATAAACCTTCCCCCCTCTCTCTCTCCTTCTACTGCTAGCTATTTGAGCCCTTAGCCATCTACCGTTGCTCCCATGCACTTGTGCCTGCTACTTGCCTATGCTTTGCTATTGCTGCAACTACTTTTATGTGCTCAGCTGCCTGTACTTTTTCACTTGAGCCCCCTCAACACATGTGCTGACTTGCACAAGCTCCTCTTTTGCACCACGTTGGTTCACTCGAGCTACCCTACCCTAGCCATTACTGCAATTTGCAATTTTACACCCACATCTTCGGAGCCAAGTTGTGGATATTTAAATGCTATTGTATCACTTGCCATCTTTCGCCTGGTTCCCATGGCATGTCATCTCCTACGTCATTTTCCTTTGTCAGCATGGTTGCTTTAACTCTATTTTTTTATCTCCTGTTTTTTCTTGGTGGTGTTAATTGACGGTTCCTTTATTACTGTCTTGAACATAAAAACCTCATCTATCATTTTCAAACCTATCAAACTCAATGGTTTCAATCAATTAGGAAATCCAAAATCAAGAATTGAAATTTTTGTCTTAGTGCAGCGAGACATGAGCCTTGACATGAAAAAAAAGATTATAAAATTTAAAGTAATTCATAAATATGATATAAACATTAAACATTAATTATTACTTAATCATCAAGATAAAGATATAAACCATAAATATAATTTTAAGTACTAATATAAAATGAAAGCTTTAAATGAGATTCAATCTAAAAACTCACTTAAAAATTTAAATACGACATGATGATCATGATCCATCCTAGTCTCATTTCATTTTTATCATCTTCTGAGGAGTCATCATATTAATTATTCTATTATTCTCTGATTTTGTGTTGTTGGCATATCTAACATTTCATCAATCATTATATTTTTATGCTTACTCCTTGAATCAATTAACAAAAAGTTTAATATATTTTAAATAAAACAACAATTTGTGACATAACTGAGCAATCCATCATATTTCAATTATCTTTTGACTATTTTGAAGCTCCGACTTGATTTTGCTTATTCCTTTTAAATGATTGTAAAGTACAACTTGCTCTGAATTCAGTTGCATTTTCATTATTAGATGGTTCTTTTTTCATCATAAACTTCAAATCTTTCACTATTTTTTTATATTATATGTTTATCATTAGATGGTACATCATTAATAACTAGAAGATCCATTCCATCATTAGTTCTTTTTTTTTTTAACTTAGGTGTCTTTCTTTCAAATTTATATTAAACATGCCATAAACCAAGTCATCAATTTGTTCTACAACAAATTAATTAATTCTCTTTATATGTGCTTTGTTGAACTTGATCAAATTAAATTCACATGTAGAAGTCGAATAAGACTAAGAATCTTTATTGCAATTGCTTCAAATTCAAATTATGCTCATCAACGTTCTAAAGGAGGATAAAAAACATGATTAATATTTACAAAAGTAAAGTGTTAAAGCAATAACTTTTAGATATAAAATAATAAATGTATTCACATTTGCTTGTAACTGCATATTCACTTGTTTAATCAAATATTATTGTTGGAAGCAAATACGCAGTTACAAGTAAACACGCTTGAAAGAAAAAATACAACACGCACGACATGCGATCTTACGTTAGGGCGGATCCCGGGTGATCGTGGTGATTTGGGGGCTTGGCGAGTTGGCTGCAAGGTAGGGAAGGGGTTTCCTTGCTGTGGAAGAGGGACGGCAACAATTATGGGCTACTGGAACAGCAGTGCAGTAAGGAATGGCAGTTCAAATAGCAGCAGTTTGTTGTTTGGACCAGTTGGACAGCATGAAAACAATGAAGGCAAGGCATTGTGTGTTGTGACAGCAAGGATGGAGGACTAGAACGGAGATGGACGCAGGTATGGGGTTGTTGGAACACTATGGGCTGTTCGAAACAGCAAGAGAGAGGGCTGGTAGCAGATTTAGAAGGAGGAAAGTAGGGATTGTGGAAGGAAGGTGGCTGGAAAGAGGGGAACTGCAGAAAAGAACAGCAACGACAGCTGTCCGAGGCAGCTGCAGTGAGGAAAGAGACGTGGCAGCGAAGTGCGGGGTGCAGGCAAGGAAAGGTCAAGGATAAATATTCCCTCTGGAACGAGCTACAGCCGGAGCACCCATCGACCCTTGGAAGAAGGTCACTATCTTAAACGAGTTACAACCGGAGCACCTTCTCACCTTCGAATGGAACCCTAAAAGGGGAACATCGGATGCCAGTGACTATCCTAATAGAAACTTGAGCCAAAAACTAAATCTAGAAAATCAGGAATACAATAATAAGAGGATAACTAGGATTGGCCCAATAGGATCGACCGACTCCTCGGAACGGAGAAAACTTGGCCTTTCTCAATATTGTCAACTCAAGAAGTATTCTATATCTGACAAGCCTGAATCTCTCTTATTTGGGGTTGCTCTGTGTCTAATATCGGCTCCGCAAACTCGTGACCCTTTTAGACATCCAATATAAGTCTTGTTGATGCTCCTCTCAATACCTGCAACATGGCAGGTCTAGGCACCATAATCTCATACGCTGCATAAATGCCCTTATCTCAAACTTACTACCCTCTAGAACAGCTTTTGTCAACTCAATTGTAATCTCTCTTGGGTACAACTAGAATTGTTGACATTTTCCTCATCGGTTGGAAGTTGAGAATTCTCTCTGAATCTTCATATTCTCTTGGATTACTATTTATTTCTGTAACTGCTTCTTGATCAGTTAAAGAGGTCATTCATCCAATTGTGCTGTCTAATTTGATTTGCCCAAATCCGTGACACTTGAAACACCTCCTAGCTGGGTTGGATTTGATTATGTGGATTGGCTTCAACTATTCACTCTAAATTAGTTTCTCCTCATTCGGGGGCTTAGATGTTTCCCTTGGCGTGCTCTTGTGACTCTATCCTAGAGTTGAACTGTCTGTAAGGTATGGTTGTCATCCAGTGATGTTGCCTCTCCACTTTTGAAGTTAGGGTGTGAATATCTAGTCTATAGTGAGCTAGTAGGCACTGGCGTTGTACCTCACCTTTCATTTTGGATCAAGTAGTGATCTTGTTTTGTCCCTCACACTAGTGTAGGTATTTCAAATTTTGCCACCAAAATAATGCACTCTTTTTTAACTTGCTGGCAGCTAATTTCGCCATTCCGTTTGTGGGACGTTCTGACAGTCAAAGAAACATTCCAAAGTCCAAAGCCACTTGATAAACTCATCTAGGTCTATGTGGCTATTGAAATATGACAAATCTATCTTTGTTTCAAAATTTTGGCTTCTCAGATATTTTAGGTCACATCTTTGATTTAGAGGTTTTTTATCCCTGGAATCCGCATGGCGGAAGAGATTCACTCCATTACTTTAATCTAGCAAGTCATCATTGTGGCTATGAGTGACCCATCCGGATTGCCTCCTCTCGAAGATGGGAATCCCCTATTGTAGTTGGTGGATTTTCCACTACATATCTCTCCCAGAAATTTTATGGATTCCTCTTAGTAAATTTCTCATATATGTCGTCGTTTCATTTCCCCTCGATACGACTTCCGACGATTATCTCCTTGGCGGCGTGGTTGGTTTTGGATGTCAGGTGGAAGGAGGTATGTAAGAGTAATATAGAGTGAGAAAAAAAAATTGTGTGGAGAGGTTTGGGTATGGTGGATGCTAGAAACTCTAGGATAGGACTAGGGTTAGGCTAACTCTGATATCAAATGATACCAGAGTTAATTCAAACAACAATAGGAAATCAAATATTATTACTGGAAGCAAATTTGCGGTTACAATCAAACACACTTGAAATGGAAAATACAAAATACTATACACACAAACTTCTGTTAGGGTGGATTCTGAGTGATAGTGGTGACGATTAGGGGGATTAGTGAGGTGGAGACAAGGTAGGGAAGAAATGATTAGGGATAAATACTCACTTGACATTTGGAAGATGGTCATTATCTCGGACAAGTTACAGCCTGAACACCTCGTCTTTGGATACAACCCTAGAAGGAGAACATCAGATGCTGGCGGCTATCCTAACAGAAATCTTAGCTGAAAACTAAATCTAGAACATCAGAAATACAAATATGTTAGAAATTACTAGGAATTGATTTATTTCCTTTTCTATTATTTCCTATTTTATGTCTTCCCTATTTTATGTATTTCATTTTATCTCCGAGTAGTTATTAGGAATTGATTAATTGTAATCTTGCAGATATAAGTATTATGTCATTTCTGTTTTAGGGTTCATGTAAGTCGTATTTATACCCGCCTTTTTTATCAATACATGTTGGAATGTTCTCCTATTACGACTACACATCCCATATTATCCAATTTGACTGTTAGCATCTTCCTCCTAGAGAGCTTTTTGATCTCCACGTACCCATTGCCCTTTATTCTCTGTCTTTTGTTATTTTGCCTTTGTATTTGCCATTGGCCTCTGTTCCTAGGACTTATCATGATGCACTACAAAATCTTTGGTGGGAACATATAATGAAAACTGAAATGATTGCTTTGTCAAATCCGCATAGTTTGGTCACGCTGCTTCTTAGTATTAAGAGATTCCCAAGTGCTTAGTTTACTCCTCCAAATTTCATCTTATGGTTTTGTTAATAAAGACAAGGCTATCTAGTTGCAAAAGATTTAAATCTATGGGATTGATTACTTTGTGAACTTCTCCTCAGTTGCTTGGCTAACTTATACAAATTCTGGTATCTATTGCTATCAATCAAGGTTAGTCATTGTTGCAAATAGATGTGATTTTTATGAAGATTTCATTGAAATCATTTATATAGAAAAACCGCCATGGTATGTTGCTTGGGGACATTCTAGAGTAAGTATGCTTAACAGAGCTATTTATATGCTACATGACAGCCCCTGAGTTTCGTTTCACAAATTTAGCAAAGTTGTTGCTGAAATTGAGGTTTTTAGATCACCCATTTCTATCAGACAAACTTCTTTTGGTTTTGTATTTTGGTAATCTATATAAATAGCAAGCATTTTACTTGTAGGAACGATAAGAAATAGATCATTTAATTAGAACACAATATTCAAAGATATTTTTTGGTCAAAGATGTGGATCATCCCAAATGCTTTTTGGGAATAAAATTTTCTTATAGCATAGGAGTGTTATTGTCTCAAAGAAAAGAGGACACCTTGAGGGAATTGATCACTTAGTTTGCATATGTAGTGACACTCATTGACCGTCAATTTTTTTTTAATAAAGAGGGAAGTATTGAGATGCTGCTCGTTATTGTAGGTTCATTAATAAGTTGATCTGTCATATTGTCAACAGCCCTAATGCCTTTGTTGGAGGAGTTCTGTACATAAAATTGTCAAACAAAAATATTGGGAAGCTATTTTATGTATCCTTACGTATGTCCAAAAGTCTTTAGGAATAGGAAAAGGACTACTATAATTGAGAATGGATTGGCTGCAAATAGAAAATTCACTTGTAACTATTCATATTTGTTGGAGGTTACTTTATTGCATGGAAGATTAAGTAACAAAATGGGGTGGTCAGATCATAAGTTGTGGTAGAATACAGAGCTATTATACACTCTACATGTGAAATGGCTTGTGGCTCGAGAAAATTTAATTTTCAAATTGCACAATCTTGGTTCTTAAATTATGACAGTTGTGTTGTTTTATATACTGCCAGTAATTGTATAATCCATGAAAGAATCAAACACTTTATTGATTGTCACTTTTTTGCAATGCATTGCTATCAAAGATCATGCTCAAGCTTCAGCTTAGAATAGCTAGTATATATATTTACCAAGGCTTTGTGTCTATTTTGGTTTTCCAAACTATATAACAAGCTGGAGCTTATTGATATACATTGGTTGAGGGGGAGTATCTTGCTAGCATATTGTTGAAAAATATCTTATTTAGCGGACTATTTTTATTTCATTATTCCTCTGCACAACGTATTCAGTTCCCTTATGATAAGGGAGCCTCCCATTGAGTAAGACAACTTTGTCCATTACAGTAAACAAGAGTAATTAGAATAGATAGAACTCTGCTATTGATGTCTTGGTTTATAAATCAAACAGGAATGACCTCATTGCTACTCAAGCACTTGTTTACAGTTTTTTCAAACCGTGAATCAATTTTGAAACCTTAGGCACTAATGAATAGACGTTCAGACCAAGTTCTATTTGTTAGCTGTTCCACATCCGGTTTATTCTCCTACATTCTATAAATAGTACTTCAATAAATGATTTCTTATCAATCTATGTTCAGAATTCCTTGGCAGGGAGGGATATGCTTTCGTTACTGATTTGAATTTGCATATCAGGGATTGAAAGCATTGAAAGTTGTTCTATTGATGAATTGGGCCTTGAAAAGGAATCTGAGAAGACCAGCAATGCGTTGCTCAGTAGGGGATGGTCCCCAGGTTGGAGCAATGCAGACAAAGTGTTATCTGAATTTGCTGAGAAAAATTTATTAGACTATTCAAAGAATAGGATGAAGCTTGAAGGCACAAATACCTCCTTGCTCTCACCTTACCTTCATTTTGGTGAGATCAGTGTAAGAAAAATTTACCAAACTGTGAGAATGAAGCAGATACTGTGGACAAAAGGGAAGTCCGATGCAGTGGACAGTGTCAACTTTTTTCTCCGATCTATTGGTCTTCGTGAATATTCACGATATCTATGTTTTAATTTCCCCTTCACTCACGAAATATCATTATTAGGGAATTTGAAGCACTACCCATGGCGTGCGGATCAGGAACAGTTTAAGTCTTGGAGGCAGGGGAGGACAGGGTATCCGTTAGTTGATGCAGGCATGAGGGAGCTCTGGGCAACCGGCTGGATACATAACCGAACTAGAGTTATAGTTGCGAGCTTCTTCGTCAAGTTTCTTCAACTTCCATGGACATGGGGAATGAAATATTTTTGGGACACACTCTTGGATGCTGACCTGGAAAGTGACATCCTTGGATGGCAATACATATCTGGTAGCTTACCAGATGGTCATGAGCTCATTAGACTTGACAGTCCAGAGGTTAGTTCTATCTATTGCAAAATTTTTATTATAATCTCCTCGTGGTTCCATTTATGATAAGTTTGAATGTTATTAGATCTTTGATCTTTCAAGTGGCATTATCAATTCATATATCATATTAAATGATTGGGTATACTTTGAGATACTGGGAACTTAGCCTTGGCAAGCAAGCCCACAATATTGGTTTCTCTTCTTGATCCTTATTAGGATTTAAAATGAGTCCTTTAGATCTTCATTTCTAGTGCTTGCTTGAGCCTATGTAGAAATTTCATTAATACCTCTCCGGCCTGAATAATCTCAAACCCAATCTACTTGTTTTTGCTCATTTGTTGGAGAGAAGGGGTGGTGGTTGCCCAACACTCATTTGCTTTCTCCTACCTCCTCTACCCAACCCAACTTCACTCTTCTCTCATTCATTTCTACCCTTTGTAACTTCATTAGACTACCCATTCATCAAAGCCCTACTACACCTCTTTCTCTCCTTTTCCCTCTCCTTTTTCTTTACGTCTTGAACTCTCTAAATGAAAACCATGAGGATGTGGTCCTCTCCTCATCTGACTTACCATTGCCCTCTTTGCAACAATTGCCCGCCTATCTAAATGATTAAGGAACACTCTATTTCTCATCTCTTCGCCATCTTGAAACTATCTACAACTCTCTTCCTTAACCCAATTATTTGTCGGGGCAGTACAAGACAACTCATCAAGGCTCTCTCTCTCTCTCTCTCTCTCTCTTAATACACATGCACTAGTGATCTCTTGCTCTAGATGCTCCATAATGGACATCGTAGAGGGTAAATTGTTGGGGTACATCTAACATGCAATATGCAAAATAAAATTCTCTCTCTCTCTCTCTCTCTCTATCTTTGATTTTTTCTGTCCACTTGAGTCTAATTTTTTAAATTATTAAATTTGAAACTTTAATTTTCAAGTAAAAACTCATTTCAAATAATTCAAAGGTATCAGATTATCAATGGAAGTAGGTCACTTTGGCCTCTCAAGTAATTTTTACTGTTTAGGTGGCATTTGGATGTGTTTGTGATACAAACCAAAACAATTTTTTACAGAATTTAGGGCAAGAAATAATTTATTTCATCAAAACAAAGCAACACAACAACAACAACAACAACAACAAAGCCTTAATCCCACTACGTGGGGTCGGCTACATGAATCCTTTTTCTCCATTGCGTCCTATTTAGTGTCATATTTTCATTTAGTTCTAGTAAATTAAGATCATTTTTAATACAATAAGCCCAAGTCTTCCTAGGTCTACCTCTGCCTTTCTTAACACAAGTCGAATTTAAAGCATCTACTCTCCTAATCGGATCATCTAATGGTCGACGTTTAATATGACCAAACCATCTAAGACGACTTTCTCTAATTTTGTCTGTCACAGGAGCAACACAACACGAATACATAAAGTTAAGCACCTCCAATTCGAGAGGTAGGCGATCTCTCCCAATACTTATAATTCGAGAGGTATGTGATTTCTCCCAAAACCTAAATCAGAGACTCAAGTCAACAATCTCTTGCATAATCTTAAATCTAAACATATTAGCCTTATTTATATCCCACAATAAAAAATAATAAATTATTAAATTGTCCTTTTTGGCTTCGGCGTAATAATAATCACCTCCCAAAAAAATATTGTCCTTAAGGTGAGAAAAAAATTTGTTGTTAGATCAAGTTGTTTAGCTCTCACGTGGCATCCTCATCTGTCAGTCCTTTCATTTTAATCAGAAAGTCATAGTGACTCCCACGAGTTCAAAATGCAGTCTTGTGCACATCCTTCAACTACATCCAAATATTTTGGTACCCTAACTTCAAATCAATCTCGGAGAATATTGCAACTTCAAACAACTCTTACAATAGCCCATTGATTGCCTTAATCTCTGTCAACTTTGTATGATGTGTCTCTTCCATATTGTACGATTTGATCCAGAATCATTCCAGTGAGAGCTCGTGTTGTTGTTTGTCAAGGGACGCTGAAAGAGCTCTCACCACAATAGGTTGTGTTTGAAAATATTACATTGTATTACACCTTTTGTAAAAGATTTGGGCATAAGTATTCTGATTGCTTCAATGTTCATCCAAACTTGAGAATATCACTTCTTATTGATTCTAACAATTAGCTAAAAGTTGGAATTGCATTCTTATTTCAGTCATGCTTAATATAGCTATCAATAATATATAGTGGTGGAACTCAAGTCGGGTTAAATTTTGCCCATATTGACTCTCTTCAGTTCAATTATTAGTGGAACTAGAACTAATACAAATTACTTGAGAAGCAAATCATGATCGAAGAATAACTATTCTGCCTTGCTTCTTGCTCCACTTTGTTTGGTATGATTTTGGTTCATTTCTTGGGTTCAATTAGACCTGTAGGCTCGACTTTATTCTAAGTTTAATTTTGTACAATTTAGGGAAGAAATATGCTTCAATTTTGGCTTATAACCTCAAAATAAAAAAAATAAAAAACCTCTAACTCGATCTCAGCAACAAAGCAATTTAAAATCAGCTAAACGTCATTAGATTATCTTGCATGATAGTAAATATTTATGCTTTAAATAATTTGCATCCTATAAGATAAGATAATAAGGTATCACATTAAACAATGTAAAACAAACATTTTTGTAGCAAAATTTATTGAGGTTACAATTGGGTATTTGACTCTTCCATCTGATTCTCCGAAAGATAATTTTAATACTTTAAAGTTTTGTTTTGAATAGTACTACAGGTTACCTGACCCATTATGCCATTTCTACTTGTTTTAGGAGTCAACATCGAACCATGAATTGTGCGAATCAACCGAAATTGATCAGTTAGTTTCCTGTCTGGTCAAATCCTTAGTTCTTTAGAATTTTTTAACGCCATCCCAATAGCATTTGAAACCATATAATATCATCAACTCCCCTCAATGCTCCCTTCCTACACACTTTCCCTCTCACATTCCCTGCCCTCGAGTGTTCATTCATTTTTAAATATGACAGGATAATACTTTAGGAATCCGAGACAATTTAATTCAAATCATTCTATTTCTGAATCATAAATTTTCTTGAATCTATGAAACTGGATATATTACGATGCTTTTAATCACTCAAAAAATATCTTTTTTTTTTTTTTTCTGTTTTTCTCATCATTCATTCCATTGAGAATCAGGAGCAGGGTATGAAATTTGATCCAAATGGGGAATACATAAGAAATTGGATTCCAGAACTTGCAAGGCTGCCCACTCAATGGATACATCATCCATGGGATGCTCCAACATCCATACTAAAGGCTGCTGGGGTCGACTTGGGATCAAACTACCCAAAACCAATCGTGGAGATCAATACCGTGAGAGAATGGCTCTACGATTCGTTGTCCGTTATGTGGGAACTTGATCGAGCCGCGAAAGCCGAAAGCTTCAACAGTTCTTGTGAAGTCTTTGCTGACAATGCCAAGACGCAAACTTTCGATATTCCGAAAGTGGTCGTTAAGAAAGAAATTTCAGACATCACATCATCTCTTGATCAAAGAGTGCCATCGATGCTTAATATTGATGGAACTTGTGACGAAAAGAGGAGTGGAAATATAGATTATGTTGCGAGAAAGGAAATTGAATTTGAGCGTCGTAAGGAGAAGGGAAATGTTGGTGAGGATGAAGATTTGAGATCTACTGCAGAATCCTCATCGGCTAAGAAAAGAAGCCTCAATGAGGCCCAGTTTTCTGAGGCAATGCCATGCTATTCTGAATCAGACAGTAAAATTCAATGCGGATATGATGCTTTCAAGCCACAATTTTTGAGAGGTTCGCCATCAACACTGCCAGAGCATAAAGATTATGTCACAGAAGCACAGGTATGCTAATATTTACGAATTTCGATGTTTTAAGTAGGTTCATGTAAAAAATAAATAAATAAATAATAAAAAACTGTCCTTTAAGCCCTTTGAAATCTGCTAATTACAAATTTACCAATGTTTGAGATCTTTCTCTTTTTTTTTTTGCTTTTTTTTTTGTAAATATATTTGTTTGGCGTATTTTTAAAGTTCTTTTAATTTTTATTGTAAAAATTAAAACTTGTTTATAAAAGCACCCAAAATGACTTTAAGTTGTTTTATATGTTTTTAAAAGCAACTAAACATGGTTTAACCTACTAAAAATGTTTTTATTTCAAATTAAAACATTAACAAAATAAATGAAAAATTAAAAATTAAAAATAAAACTGATTGTAAATGGCCTTAAAATTATCTTTTAACACCTGTAAGATGAGCTATGTTTTACTCGGTAAACATTTGTTTGCTTAAACTTGAGGAAAAAGAAATTTACTTTGAAGGATTGTTAAAATATTCTGATGCGTCATTTGGTGTGTTTAGGAAGAAAGATCGTCTTCAAACTCCACTTAGTGTAAAGTTTTCGATTTCACACATTAGTGAAAGTAAAATAGTGGAATTATGATTTTACCCTTATCATCCTTTTATTATTGAATTGCAGAGTCAAATTTTATGATTAATTTGTAGACTTTGGCATTATTTTTGGCCTAAATTTTAGCCCTCCAATGCATTACTAATTTCTACTTTAAGTTAGTATTTTTATTGAATCTCTTATTTTTGTCTTTTAGAATGAAGAGGCTGACGCTGAGAGCAGCAAAGAGAGCCTGAGATCAAGCAAGAGACCTGCTTAATTTAGGAGAATAAAATAAATTTATCAGATAATCCTTTTATCTCAATGATCTTATAATCCCATAGAACGTTGGGTTTCTAATTGTTATGTTCATGTTTAGCAAATTTTCTTTCAAATAAAGTTTTGCGAGAATTGAAATGTTGGTGTATATCTTTTTGTATTTTATTTTTGTTTATACTTTTTAATGTATAAATGGTGGTGGTGCTTATAATTTGTAGTTCTTAGAGATGTAGGACATGTCCCCTCTATTATGCTTCAGGGGTGTTTTGGATATATGGTTTTTTATTTTTTTATTAGGTTCTATGTTCCACATCTTTGTTTTTAGGAAAGTGTCAAAATAGTCTCCCACTATTTATATGAGGCCCTTTTAATCCAAAAGTTTATAGAAGTGCAAAAATAGTATCCAAACTGTATTAATTGAGGTTGAAATAATTATCTTAGAGTATTATTAGAGCTCAATTTTAAAACTGCGGTGAAATAGTTTTTTGGAGAATAGTGTCACCTAAAATTTATAAATTCATCTGCATTAACTTGTTTCCTAAAGCAATAAAGTACTATTTTAATTATTCGGAAGTTGGCAATTTATCTTTTTTTTTATTATTATTAAAGAAGTGCTCTGTTTAGTTCTTTTTATTAGAATGAATTACCTTGCTAAATTTGTTTTGAGATAAGTGAAATGAAATAACAATTTCTTTTGAATTCCCTGAATTAATGACCTTCGAGCTTGATCTCTCTGATTAGGGAGAGGATGTTGCATCCGGACTTTAGTGAAAATTTGTCACGTGGGAAGTGAGCTCAATTGTAATACATTGGTTATGGGTGATTTTTAAAATACGTGAGGCTCATTTGTCACGTGGTAAATTATCACTGGACTCCGGACGCAAATTTGTACCTAGAGTCCGGATACAAATTTTTTTCTAATTTGGAGTGTTTCCTGAGCTTCAGTTCTCTGAAATGGGCGAGTGTACTTTTAAGTTTGGCTTATTAGAATTAGGGGAATGAGAAATATAACCTTAAACTCAAAATCTACCAACTTAACTAAAATAAATAAAAGAATAGCATAGAGGAGAAAGACTTCTCAGATGATGAATGAAATTAATCTTCAGAGTTTATTCCATGCTAGTGTGGAGATATAAAAATAAGCTTCATATGATGATGTTGATAAGCAGTGCAGCACTTTCATATAAATATTACATTATGCGTGCACACAACACCAAACAATGGCTTAGGTTGCCTCTCAACAACTCTTAGTTGCTTAGTTTGTAGTTCTCAGGCTAACTATGTGAAATTCTTTGTTTAACATTTTCCACTTGATTAAATTTTCTTCCTATTAATTCATGATCATTCTCTCAACATACTTATTTCACTAGGGAGTTCTTTATATCATCAAATTGCAATCTTACCTTATTTCCTAAATTTCATTTTAATATTTTTTGCAATTTATCCATCTCAATCTACAACAATCTTCAGGAGAATATGTAGAAGCTTGAATTGAATCATGAATTTAAAAAGCATTTCTTCGTATTGTCCTCTTACATTAACTCCTCTTTTTGTAGATCTTTATCCACCCTTTTTGTAAGGAACTATACAATTATGAATACATTCCTTTCTCAACGAGCATTGCCGGCGACCATCCCACCGACCATCTCCTCCTAAGAACACCTACACATCTCTCTCCTTTATTTCTTTCTCTAAAATAAGAGAAACATCCACTTCTCTCAATCTCTCTCTCCCTCCACTTCTCTCACCATTATTTCTCTCTCTAAACAAAGAAAGATCTCCATCTATGTTTTCTTCTCTAGAGCTCTTGAAGCTGGGTTAGCTTTTCTTCATTGAAAATTTTTTTTTCTTTCCTTTCTCCTCACCTCTCACTTGCAATCTTGCCAACAACTCCAGATTCTATAAGTTTCTGACATCATTTGAATCCAACAAAATTATACTTTTAACAGATTAAAGAGAGATGAAAGATGGATTGTATATTTGTATTTATCGTTATTGTGAAAATATACAGAAATAGAAACAAATTAAAAAGATAGAACTATTGTGCACCAAAATTTAGCACAATATTTTGGGATAAAATAGTGAGTATTTATGAAGTGCTAAACATCATTCAGTATAGTGTAAAGTGTGTAGAAAAGACAGTGGACAACATTTTTTCACATTTCTATACCTATTTATTAACAGAATATCAATTGATTCTGCATTAAATATGGATAAAAAGTTAATCAATTCACCTTCTACTTCATTCCTTCATCATCATTGATTCACCTTCTTTCTGTGTTTTCATTTTCGCTAGAATTAGTGCTATCAACGTTCTCATTGCTGACATTGGCACCAGCATTTTGATCCGCTTCAAGAAAAGAAAAGTGGGCTTCAAAGAAATCTTCTACTTGGTCTGGTTCTTCTGCCATTGATCTTCGCAGGAGCATCTTACGTAACATACGTGAATCATCGAGTTCAAACTGATGGTCGGGTTTATGTTGCTGGTTAAATCTTCCTGCAAGCTTAGAATTGGTATTATAGCAAGACTCACACAGATCAAAACCTATTTCTTCTTTGCAATCTTTGCATTTGTATCTTTTCCCAGTAATAGGGTACATCTGCACAGAAAGGATAGCAGATTATTGGGACAATAAAATGATTTAATTAGTTATTTCGGGTGTTAAATTTAATCTCTACTCACCAAATTGGTCCTATCATCGATTTCATTAGACGAAAATCGATGGAGGGAAAATTTACATAAGAGCATTCTGAATTTTTTATGGCCAATCTTGATATTAAATTATGGTTTAAATTAATAAGATTGGCATGGAGAAGTCCAAAACTCACTCATAAAAAGCTTCCCTCCATCAATTTTGTGCCCAAAAGAATGAGAAATTTGACGATAGAATCAAATTGGTTCAAATTTAGTAGGTTATGAGACCAAATTGAACATCAGAAAAAGTAATAAAATGGGAGCCTAAAAATTCCGAAGACATGCGGATGAATGAAACTCACCCCACAAGAATCACAGCCAACTCCAACATTAGCTTTTGACACATCCAGCCAACCATGAACATCTGTGCGTGAAACACCTGCAATAACATAGAAATTAGCCTCCAATTATCTAGAAGTCCTTCTCCAACCATGTTTAGCGTAAACTTCCTTAAGAATCAGCAGCATGCAGGGAAACGCTTCCTACTAATCAACTTTGAAAAATGTTAATAAAGTTATATTTTTTAAGATATTCATAGGCTATTGTATATCAAGAAGGTTATACGAAAAAGATTAGGGGTAAGTAATATTAAGTAATTACAAGTGTATTTTAAAAATGGGGCATTTACATACAAACCACTCAATTCTTATCTATTTACCATATTAAACACTTAAACTTTATATTTTTCATTTATACCATTCAAATCTTTAATATCACATCAAAAAATAACCACCATTTTAACTTTAAAAAAGTGAAATACATTTTTTCATGCATAGTTAAGGTGGCAGATATGTAAATACATAGGAATTGAGCGGTATGTATATAAATCTTCCTTTAAAACTATAGTTAGGCATTGCTCCTCCAAGTTTTCCCGAAAATAACTTTGGAAACTAATTTTAAGAAATAATTGGAGTATTACGATGTACATATGTTGAAGAAGGAAGAACTATCTAGGTCATTTCGCTTGAAGTTCAAGTAGCCTAAACATGTGCACGACAAAAAATTAAATTACTGAGTATAATACTTAATCAAGTCATGATGCCAATGTATGCAATGTCATCTCCTGTCATCTCCTGATAATAGAGTAGCTATTCTGATACCGGAACTAGTTCAAAACAACAGAAACGAAGGCCAACTTTATTAAGCAAAGGGATCAGGGTTACAACACAACTCAAAACGGAAATACGACACGCTAACAACAACCTTCGGCTAGGGCTAGAAGTGAAGATCCGAGGGCGGTGGTGGCGTCGGCACAGCGGCAAGGGGAAGTGGAAGGGCTGGTGGTTGTAAGGTAGGTTGGGAAGAGATTTAGTGGGCGGTTTGAGGGCTAGAAGAGTGGGGCAACAAGGAAGACTGCAAGGAAGAAAGCAGCGGGTTGCTGGCTGATGGTGGGACGGGTTGGACAGCACGGTCAGCTGCAGGTAAGGGGCGGCTGGAAGCAGGCTGATGGCTGGATAGGTGGACAGGCAGCTGTTAGCGGGGGGGGGGGGGGGGGGGGGTGGCGAGAAGGGGTGGCCGACGGGTAAGGGGAGAAAAGGCGGAAGAGGTAGGGAGGAAATCGGAAAGGATACAACACCACCTTAGAGCGGGATACAACAGCACCGCCCGTCATTGGATATAACCCTAGTAAGAGAAGATGAGACTCTGCATAAATTCTGATAACATTAATCAAACATAACATAACCCTAATTCCAGCAAAAAATATATAAATATCCCGTTAGGTGGAAAACATCAAAAGAAAGGAGAAAAGACACAAAATGAAAGAAGGGGATGGCGGCATTACCGTCCGCTTCTAACTGTCGTTCTCGCTCGGTCCCATAGGAATCGGGATCGGCCTCCACAAACTAGGTTCACCTGGTCCTTCTGCTAGCCGGTTCAGCCTGCCAGCTTTAGCCCTGCATAAGTCTTTCAGGGCTGGGGGAGCTTTGACTTCATTCGTCAAAGCTTCCAGTTCTTCTTCTGTAATTCTAGTAGCATCTGGATCCCATTGGCGACCGCACCGTCCTCCAAGGTACCTGAGGGTCTTTCTCAACTTATGAGCAAAAATCCACATCAATCCAATCTTCTCTAAGTTTACCGGAGTTGAACTGTGTTTCCCACCTTTATTGTCGAATACTCCCAATGCCATCCATGGCCGACGTAACCAGATTTGATGTGGAGGTATTGAAACCTCCCGCACAGTGGTGGAGCTGATGGTAAAGTATTGACCCGTATATCCTAAAATGTCCTTCATCATGCCTGCCCCGTGTCTAGTTCTGATGTCGCAATCTCATCATCCCCAGTCATCACCAAAACTAGTCTCACCAAGACTGCTCTACTAACAAGGGCTCATGTGATCCCAAGCTCCGCCGATAGAAGTAGAATGATTAGCTTTCCATCCCTGGTGAAGGAATATGTGCTTTTGAATCAGTGGTGCTGAGTCTGATTCCTATGGGGATACAACAGCACCGCCCGTCATTGGATACAACCCTAGTAAGAGAAGTTGAGACTCCACATAAATTCTGATAACATTAATCAAACATAACATAACCCTAATTCCAGCAAAAAATATATAAATATCCCGTTAGGTGGAAAACATCAAAAGAAAGGAGAAAAGACACAAAATGAAAGAAGGGGATGGCGGCATTACCGTCCGCTTCTAACTGTCGTTCTCGCTCGGTCCCATAGGAATCGGGATCGGCCTCCACAAACTAGGTTCACCTGGTCCTTCTGCTAGCCGGTTCAGCCTGCCAGCTTTAGCCCTGCATAAGTCTTTCAGGGCTGGGGGAGCTTTGACTTCATTCGTCAAAGCTTCCAGTTCTTCTTCTGTAATTCTAGTAGCATCTGGATCCCATTGGCGACCGCACCGTCCTCCAAGGTACCTGAGGGTCTTTCTCAACTTATGAGCAAAAATCCACATCAATCCAATCTTCTCTAAGTTTACCTGAGTTGAACTGTGTTTCCCACCTCTATTGTCGAATACTCCCAATGTCATCCATGGCCGACGTAACCAGATCTGATGTGGAGGTACTGAAACCTCCCGCACAGTGGTGGAGCTGATGGTAAAGTATTGACCTGGATATCCTAAAATGCCCTTTATCATGTCTGCCCCGTGTCTAGTTCTGATGTCGCAATCTCATCATCCCCAGTCATCACCAAAACTAGTCTCACCAAGACTGCTCTACTAACAAGGGCTCATGTGATCCCAAGCTCCGCCGATAGAAGTAGAATGATTAGCTTTCCATCCCTGGTGAAGGAATATGTGCTTTTGAATCAGTTGTGTTGAGTCTGATTCCTATGGGGATACAACAGCACCGCCCGTCATTGGATACAACCCTAGTAAGAGAAGTTGAGACTCCACATAAATTCTGATAACATTAATCAAACATAACATAACCCTAATTCCAGCAAAAAATATATAAATATCCCGTTAGGTGGAAAACATCAAAAGAAAGGAGAAAAGACACAAAATGAAAGAAGGGGATGGCGGCATTACCGTCCGCTTCTAACTGTCGTTCTCGCTCGGTCCCATAGGAATCGGGATCGGCCTCCACAAACTAGGTTCACCTGGTCCTTCTGCTAGCCGGTTCAGCCTGCCAGCTTTAGCCCTGCATAAGTCTTTCAGAGCTGGGGGAGCTTTGACTTCATTCGTCAAATCTTCCAGTTCTTCTTCTGTAATTCTAGTAGCATATGGATCCCATTGGCGACCGCACCGTCCTCCAAGGTACCTGAGGGTCTTTCTCAACTTATGAGCAAAAATCCACATCAATCCAATCTTCTCTAAGTTTACCGGAGTTGAGTTGAACTGTGTTTCCCACCTCTATTGTCGAATACTCCCAATGTCATCCATGGCCGACGTAACCAGATCTGATGTGGAGGTACTGAAACCTCCCGCACAGTGGTGGAGCTGATGGTAAAGTATTGACCTGGATATCCTAAAATGCCCTTTATCATGTCTGCCCCGTGTCTAGTTCTGATGTCGCAATCTCATCATCCCCAGTCATCACCAAAACTAGTCTCACCAAGACTGCTCTACTAACAAGGGCTCATGTGATCCCAAGCTCCGCCGATAGAAGTAGAATGATTAGCTTTCCATCCCTGGTGAAGGAATATGTGCTTTTGAATCAGTTGTGCTGAGTCTGATTCTCCGGCCAAACTATCACGACCTCCCCAACAAAAGGTGGCGGGCATCTATGGGAATTACATTGCACCACACCTGATTCTGTAGCCGACTCTCAATCAAAAACTTCATCATACATCTCTAGTCAATGCTAACTCTGCTCTCCTTCAACCACGTCAGAGAATACGATTGGGAGTGCCTCTAAGCCATGAGACCCAACTTCTCAACCATTTGAGTAGATGATACATTCTTACCGTTCCCCCCAACGATGATGAGATTGCATACATTTTCATTCACCGTGTAGCGGGAGTACAAGATATTGTAGCTAAACCACTGTGGATCCCTTGTATCCTCAGCTTTAGGATGCGTCGAACCACAAATGCTTCTCCTTCATCCGATTGCAGATGACACACCTCACCCTGATCCTTAGCTTTCTCCTCATCGTCAAACTCCTCCACGACACCCTGCTCGGTAAAAAACACAATTTGGTTGTCAGGCAGCTCAAAGAAATGTGCCCAAATCCATTTGAAACATTTTCTGGTGGGGACTATAGCAGGCGTGGTACTTCTCTCAAATTTTTTTCTCATTGGGAGTAGCTCTATCCTTATCTGAACCAACTTTCTCAACTCTCTAAGATGTGCTCCTGTTGTTATCTCCAATTGTTGGAGGTTGTCCGGCTGCTGGTGGTCACCTGCTCTGTTTCTACTCCCTACCCACTTTCAATGCTAAGGTTTGGATATCTTCAAGTGACGAGTAAAGTTGCAACTGTACCACGTTGCTAATAGCGGGTTTCAAGCCCCCTAGATAACGAGCGATGGTATGCTCATCTGGCTCGCAAATAACATATCATCTGCAACTGATCAGACTGCTCTGTGAACTCCACTGCTGACAAATCCCTCCACTGCAAGTGGTGTAGCCTCGGAAACATCTGCAATGCTTCCTTCATCTTCATACACCTGGTAATCTTATCACCGTCTTCCATTATTCTCTGTCTCTGTAAGTTCTCCCACCACAAAAAAAGCACTCTTCTTCAACTCGATAGCAGTTGACTTGACCCTATTGTCCTTTGGCACAATCATACACTTAAAGATCCTTTCAACAGATTACAGCCAATCAATATAATTTTTTGGATCCATACCTCCCTCAAATTTTGGTAGATCAACTTTGATGTCGAAGTCTATGTGCCCTCTAAATGATATCTCCTCTCTGAAATTCAACCTATGGAAGGGATTCAAATATCCCTCTCTAGGCCTCCTTTGATATTGGATTCTGAAACGTGG